AACAAAAGGCTTGTAGAAATCTAGGAGCATTTATTCAAGAAAAATGGCAGAACCCAGGTAAGAACCATGAGCTCCGTGACACCTGGACTTGCTCTGCTGCCCCTCCCCCGCCCCCCACCCCCCAACCCCCGCCAGCTCTGTCTCAGCCTTGAGAACCCACAGCCCTCGACCATGGTGAAAACCAACAGTCCAGCAGACAGCACAAGGGAAAGAATGGGGTTATCATTCCCAGGTAACTGTCATGATCAGACTGGTCTGACGGTTCTCTGAGAGACCCACTTGCAAAGCTGTCTTTTCTGGCCTGACTGGGGTGGGGAAGAAAGTTCAGGCTTGTCAAAAACTATCAGAGTCAATGGATTAACCTCTCCACTGGCTGAGGCAGGAGAGAACAGCTAGGGTGAAAAAACAGGCTAAACAGAAACCTTAAGAGGAAAAGCTAAGGAAAGAGATATTCACAAGGGATTTGAAAAGCTCCAACATCTTCCTAGGAACTAGAAGGCCAAGTGCACGTGCAAGGCTGCGTACCTGCCAGGGAAGACATAAGAAGGCCATGAGTTCTCACCGCTGGCTGACCTCAAGGCTCTGAGAAAGCAGGAAGTGAAGACCAAGGCAGAATTGCCGGCTGCCTGGTTGAACGCTGCAGGCATATCCCAACATACACACAGAGCCCCTCAGTAAAGACTGGGGAACTTACTCTTTCTGGGCACTGAACTCTCTGTCTAATAACTAGCTGACCACTAATTAAGCAAATAGAGACTTCAGTGGCCACACATGACACAAGAATACAGACTTTACTGAATTAGTTCAAATAAACAACAACAAAAGTATACAGCAGCACCAACAACAAATGCTAGGGAGAAAGGAGAATCTGATTTCCAGAGTTCCACATTATGTTATGTGTTTCAACCAAAAATTACAAGACATGCAAAGAAACAAGAACATATGATCCATACACAGGAGGGTAAAAAAAAAAAAAAAAAAAGCAGTGAATAAAAACTGTCCCTGGGCTTTAGACTTGTTAGGAAAAGACTTTAAGTCAGCTATGATAAATAAGTTCAATGAACTATAGGGAACCATGTATAAAGAATTAAAGGAAAGTATGAAAATGATGTCTCATCATATAGAGAATATCAACAAAGAGAAAGAAATCATAAAACAGAACCACATAGAAATTGTGAAGTTGAAAAGTATAAGAATTGGAGAAAAAGAAAAACTTCTCAGCAAACTAAGAATATACAGAAACATCATCAATCTGATGGAGGGCACCTATGAAAAGTCTGTAGTTAACATACCTACGAGTGAAATATTGAATGCCTCCCTCCTAAGATGGACAACAAGCAAAGTATAATCTCTTCACCACTTCTATTCAACATTGTTCTAAAAGTTCTACCCTAACCAGTTTAATAAAACAAGGAAAAGGAAAGGCATAAAGATTGGAAAGGAAGAAGTAAAACTGTCTTTATTTGTAGACAACACGCATACAGAGAAAGCCCTAAGAAATCCACCCCCCCCAAAAAAATCAAAAAATAAAACCAAAAAACCCTATCACAAACAGTAAGTAAATGTAACAGGAGATAAGGTCAAGATATAAAAATCAACTTTTTTCATACACCAGAAAGAACCAGAAAAGGAAAAATATCACTTATAAAAACATAAAATACATTATAAATAATCAAATTAACCGATAGTAAAGCTAACAAAACATGTACAAAATCCCTACAGTGAAAATTACAAAATACTGCTGAGAAAAATCAAAGACCTAAATAAATGGAAAGACAAACATGTGCATGCATTAGAAAACTCAATTTTCTTAAGAATTAATCTACAGATTTAATGCAATATGAACCAAAATCCCAGCAGAATTTTTTGTAGGAACTGACAAACTGATTATGTAACTTATATGGAAATACAAGAGACACAGAAGAGCTAAAACTATCTTATTTATACGACTGCAGGACTTATACGACATGATCTTAAGACTTACTATAAAAACCACAGTAACCAAGACTGGTGCTGATAAAAGGATGGGCAAGTAGGTCAATGGGACAGAACAGAGTCCAGAAACAGACCCAAGCATGCAAATGGGAGAGAGAAAAGACGTTTCAACCAACGTGATGGGAACGCAGATCCACATGGATGGATGAGGCCCATCCTCGCCTCACACTGTACACAGAAATCAGTTTCACATGGACCTAAATATAAAAGCCAAAACTATAAAGCTTTCAGAAGAAAACCTGGGAGAAAATCTCCACAAGCTTGAAACAGGCAATGATTTTTTAGAGAAAAAGAACTAGTCCTAAGAGGGAAAAAAATATATATGGACTTCCATCAAAATTTAAAACTTCTAGGCATTGAAACACACAAGAGAAAAAAAATATATATATATATAAAACAGAATTTTCATCTGTGATGTATAAAGAACTTCTGCAACCTAATAACTAAAAGGTCCAATAAAAACAAATAATAAGACAGTCACTTCACAATCAGATGTACAAATGGCCAATAAGTGTATGAAAAGCGCTCAACATCATTTGTTATCAGGGAAATGCAGAATAAAACCACAGTGCAATACTACATACCTACTAGTATGACTAAAATAAAAAAGAATGACAACAGCAAGTGGAACGCAGACTGTGCTGGTGGCAGTGGCACTGTAGAGCCACTCTGGAAAACTATGAAGTAAAACATACATCTACCCAGACATTCTGCTCTCAGGGCCTATACGAGAGAAATAAAACCACACGTCTACAAAGAGCCCAGTATAAGAATGTTCGTATCAGCTTTATTTACAGCAGCCAAAAAGCAGAAACAGCTCAGGTTTCCATCAACAAGAAAATAGATAAACAAATTGGTATGTTCACCCAATGGAGTATTATTCAGCAATAAAAAGGAAGAAACTACCGATTACACAAAAACCTGGACGGGGACTTCCCTGGTGGTGCAGTGGTTAAGAATCTGCCTGCCAATGCAGGGGACACGGGTTGCAGCCCTGGTCTGGGAAGATCCCACACACAGTGGAGCAACTAAGCCCATGTGCCACAACTACTGAGCCTGCGCTCTAGAGCCCGCAAGCCACAACTACTGAGCCCACGTGCCACAACAACTGAAGCTGTGCGCCTAGAGCCCGTGCTCCACAAGAGAAGCCACCGCAGTGGGAAGCCCGTGCACCACGACGAAGAGTAGCCCCTGCTCACCGCAACTAGAGAAAGCCTGCATGCTGCAACAAAGACCCAATGTAGCCAAAAAAAAAAAAAAAAAAAAATCTGGACGAATCCCTGAAATCATTAATGCTAAGTTAAAGAAGACAGACAAAGAAGAGCCAAAATGTAAGAGTCCATTTATATCGAGTTCTGGAAAAGGCAGAACTAACCTACAACAACAGAGAGCGCTTGAGGCAGTGGAGGAAGAGCGCCTAGGAGGGGCGGAAATGGCCCCCAGCCCAATGGGGGTGCAGTCACTGGTGGTGAACGTCAGTCAACCTGACTGAGGCTTTACAGTCAGACCACGTCCAGAGAGAGAGGCCAAGGTCAGAATAAACTAGGGCTTACCAATCATCTACAATTTAACATCAGAACCTTTAAAATAGTTATCCTCTAGTACTTGAAACTATTCCATCTCCATTCATGCTACACTACACTTCAGGGCACACGCACCTTTCCCGAGCTAAACCAGACGGGTGCCACTGTCACTCAACCTGGGCACATGACTCGAATAAACGCCCTGTGTGTGGTATGGAATAGAAAATGACTGCTGCATTTTCAGGTCACTGTCTCTTCATAAACAGACACATTTTTATTTATTAGGACTCTGACAAATTAATATGGGAAGGAGGGACAATTTTTACCAAAGCAAAAAAACAACAGGCCATCTACTGGGAAGAGAAGCCCTTTTACCTGTGAGATGGAGCCTCCCAGTATAAAAGATGGTTTTTCTGAAGCCACTGTGGTTTTGGAAGATGGGATGAGAGGAGGAGGTGGCCTAGTGGGTCGAGTTGTTGGAAGCCGAACCCCTTCAGGGAGGTTAGTTATCACTTGATGCGGAGCAGGCTGGAGGACTTTCAAAAGGGAGAAAACATTATTTTAAATAGTCAATTTCCTAGTTCACGACATTCCACAAAATCTCAATTGTTTCTTCAATCACATTTAAACTGTGAGTGCACGATGAAGTTGAGGATGAACATTTCTATTTTAAATTTCTTTCACTTAAACTAAACCTGTATCCATACTCAGGTCACAAATGGTATTTGTGAGGTTGAAATACTCAACTCCCCGGCAAACCAGAGCTTTCAGGCTGACGTCCATTTCAAACTATTTCTGCTCAGCATACGCAAGTGGCAAACAATTTTTTCTCTCTCTCCATCACTCTTTGGACCTCACAAAGGAGGTGAGAAAAAGGGTGTTTCTTAGGAACAGCTGATATTACAACTCTGGAGAATATACAGATTGACTGACAACCAGTTATACGTCCTATTTGCATCCTGCATAATTTGGAAACATTTGCTGATTCTGACTCTCACAGACACTTGAATTTTTTTTAGGGGGGTGGATCTCAAGATTTTTACGAAGTACATGTGCTCTTAAAAGAAGGCAGTCAACGTCACAGTACACATGTATGAACACAAACCTCCCAGTGGCCCAGCGCATCTCAACTGAATACAACTGAAGATGGAATGCAGAGGAATTCTGAAACAGCAAGGACGCATCCTGGGAGTAAACCAACCCAGGTCATCACGTGTAGGTCGATGGCCAGCAGCCACGGCACAGAGGAGCGGTATTTACCTGGCGGGACGCTACAGCGGGCTGCACTCACATCGGGCTGTGGCGCAGCTTTACTGACTTCTCTCGGAAAGAGCCTACACGGTGATGCTGACCTTGCTGCGGTACTGTGCATCTGTGCTTCCTGTGCTAGAGCACGTGTGACCTCAGCATAAGGCATATAGGCGACTGATTTTCCTATGAAAGTTAAAGTTATCAAAATAAGGGAAGAACCCCATATTAAAATAGTAAGTGTGAAAGGACCAAGCCCACACCATCCAGGGGCAGATCCAACTATACACAACTATCAACATCTAAAATTCCCGGGGGAGAATCCACCCACAGAGAGAGTTAAAAAAACCTATAAATCTAAATCTTCTGTGCAAGTGTCATTACTGTGACCTAATAAAATCCTCAAAAATTCAATTACAACTTTTTCTTTCAAATCACAAAGAACTTCTCTTTCCTCTCATTAGGAGAATCAAGTATTTTCACATGCAATAAAGACCACAGCAGGCAAACATCAGATTATCCAGCCATTCTGTGAATTCAAGTATGGCCTGAATTAGAGGCCAGAACTCTTGAGGATTTCAGCTCTTATAATTAGCCTGTTGAAGCCCACTGCTTAATATTCAGAGAAATAAATGTAATCAAGAAATGGAAGAAGGGTTTCAAAAGATACAGATCAAAATAATTTTTTAAAGGCTACACAAGCTTATAAAACTATGAATTTTACTGTAGTAATGCTGATGAAAATTATTCCACATAATTTACCTCCACATAAAGTATTAAAAAAAACTTGAAGCATTTAAAGGGCATATCAGATATGCAGAGTCATATTAAGACTTAAAAACACACATATATGTAATTATATATATAACATACAATATTTTCTTTTTTTTAAGTGAATCGACATACTGTAATTTTGGAAAATAAGAAAAGCACAAAGAAGAAAGTAAAAACTCATCTGTAATCCAAACCACTTTAAACTGTGGCATTTTAATGTCTGCCGGAACAAATTCCCATTCATTTTTTATTCTTTTGCTTACCTAGTCTTACCCATTTATTCTTCCAGATGAATCTAAATTTAAAATCATTTTGAATACTTCCTCCCCAAACAAAATATCACTGGAATTTTCAGTGGACGTGCATTAAATTTACCTCCTGTATTTATAGGAGACTTGACATTTTATAATGAGCTTTTTTCTAATTGAGGAAGCTAGATGTTTTCATATAGGTCATTTTTCATAATTTCATAAAAAGTATTCATAGGTATTTTATATTTTGTTGTGAGGAAAACCATCTGTTTAATATACATGGGAATATATATATATTTATATATACTGATTACTGCAGATATATAAAAAAGAAAGCTGTAGATTTCTGTATATCAATTCTTTCTGAGAAACTTAATGAACTTTCCTCTTAGCTCTAATAACTTTCTCAGTTAATTCTCTTGGGCTTCCTAGGTGAATAATCTTACCCTGTGAATAATAACTTGTCTTCTCCCTTCAACAGCTAAACCTCTTGTATGGTTCCTTTCTTTCTTGCTGCACTGCAGTAAGTAACACTGGGCATCCTCACAGGTCCTTTCTAAAGAGAAGGTCTCTAGCATTTCACTTTTAAGTGGAATAGTTTGTGACTGGTTTCAGATAGAGACTCATTAGCACAATTAAAACGTTCTTTAGTTAACTAAGATATTTTTAAAAACCAGAAACAACAACCGTAATGTCAGCTAATAGGAATCTGTACTATGGGCAGAGCACTGTGTATTACAGAAGTGTCTCGTTTAGCCCTCATGACTAATGAGATCATTAACACCATTTGACAGAGGAGGAAACTGAGACTCAGAAGAATCACACCTAACTGCCCAACCAAGGCAGTGGAGATTTTTCAAAAGCAGTGCAATTCCTGGCCCTGAGCTCTAAACCATCCTGAGTGCAATGGTATCTCCCTGAGCACTTGGGTACAGAAATTTCAGATGCCTCTGGGGTAACCATCAAGATGATGCAACCCGTTCCTTCTCTGAAGGATTAATATAATGAATTAGATTATTAAGTGTCCTAATACTGTGCAGATTTATGAAATAAACCAACTTTAAAAGAATATCACTTCTCCCTTTCTAGAGAATTTAACATGAGAGTGCATTGCAATATATATTACATATATTCAGTGTCTGATTGTTTTATAATCAGGTGGGAAAACACACTTTGTCGTAATCGTGCTAAAGAAAATGATGAAAAGTTAGATGGTTTTAAATATAGCTATTTAAGTCATCATGTACTCAGCTGAAAAAATTAAGAAACAACAACAACAACAAAATAAACTAGATTCAGTTGCACAGAGGCATTAACTCTTATTTTGACTGGGCTGATTTTAAAACCCGCATTAGAATTTCACTTCTAACTCTCTCTCTACATGTGTAAAGTCTGAGTTCTTTCACCATAGAAAAAAGGTTTCCAACTAAAGCAGGAGTCAACTTGTGTAAACGTCACTGGAAAATGAAAACAATCTTTCTCTGAGGTTTTTTCAAGCTTTTCTACAAGTGGAAAGGCTTAAGCCACCTGTCTCATTGATATTAAGAGAAGGTGAACACAATCAAACAGGTGGACAACAGGTGCTGCCTGCTGCCTTCTAAATGAGCCCATGAAGGGAAAAGCCAAAACTGTGGTCCTACCTCAGGTGGACAATACCAGTTTGGTGATGGTTTATACGTAAATCCTCTTCTCACTATATTTACCATCCTATAAACTATTCTATGATGCTGTTCTGAAAACATTTATATCAAACAGTCTACATACAAGCAAGTTAACTGCAAATATAGAAATGTTATTTGGGAAATTATCCTTTAAGCGAAATATAGGATAGCTATAAATTCAGGAGAGCCTTCAGGCACTTGTTAAATAAATTACCAGATGAACATACTAGCTAGATTAGCTAAAACAAAAGTTAAACCTTGGGATAAAATGTAATCAACCATCCCAGTTTGTAGAGAGTCACCCTGAACCAAACTAGTGTCTTATTAACAAACACCTTGGTGTCATATTGATCAAATATATAATGACAGTTTGGTTTTAAGACCACTGCATCACTATTAAAAGTAAGGGTACCATTCAGATCTAAACCACATGAATTAATGTGACTGATCACGGAGAAATGCAAGTCACAGTTTGGAGTCTCAGAATTTAGGGCTCTAGCCTAGTTCAGTCTCTCCAGCTACCAAATACAACCCATCTCGTAAAGGAGGTCAAGAAAAGAAACTGAGGTCCTAAAATAACTATACAATATAGACATATTAGAATGACCCAGATATTGTCACCTGAATAATGTTAAGCTTTAGCATGAGTTCAGCAAATACTTCTGAATGTCATTTTTTCTACATTTTAATTCTGCCTTAAAAAATTTATTCTGAATCATTTATGTAAGGAATAGATCAAAAGACTTTTGAATTATTCTATAATTTATCATTCTCATAATGACAGATTTTCTCATAATTGAAGATAAGCACTTCTGCTAAATCCATTTTTATCCTACTTCATTTAATCATTCCTTTAACATGTAATTACTGAGTATACATTATGTCAATTACTGAGTTAGGAATTAAGGATTCCCTAGAGGCAATATACTAAAAGCCCAAAGGTTAACAATGTTTTTTTCTACCTTCATTCAAGAAATATTCATTTAGCACCTGTTATACACACAGCCCTGGTGGTTACTAATCATTCTGGTTCACATTTTTAATAGCATAAGATTTATATTTAAAACACTAACAATCTGATATGTAAAACTCTAACATTAAGAGGTTCAGTGTGTCACGTAACTAATAAGTCATTACTGGTGTGACGGGGCGGGGAGTCAGCAGAGTCAGTTAAGCAGCACAGTTCCTCTTTTATATTAAATAGCCCTTGAAATGCATGGTGTTCTACAGCTAATAGCTCTTATCTATGTCAGGTACTACAGTCTTCTGAATCACTACAAAAAATGAAACCAGAATCAGAGAAGACTTTAATAGTCTTATACGCTACGCACGTCATGCTGGATAGTCCATAAGTCATTATCAACCAGAATACATGTGCCATTTTCTTACCATGCCAGAAGTTATTAAAATTTAGAAATCGCTCCCTTTTTTCTTTTTTTTTAAAAAACTAAGTGTATCATGCACCAACTAAAAAAGAGCATGCACAACTCAAATCTGTCACTTGAAATAACAGTGACATACAACAATAACAGTACCTTCACGGTACTGCATACACGAATATACTACTATTACTTATTATATTGTATATAAAATGACGCTGAGCCATGTCTTATAAAACAATAATGAATGCTCATTCTTTCTGACAGCTTGTAATCCTGGCAAGGCAGAGATATAGCTATAGATTAGACAGAGAGACAGATACATTATTTGCACTTTACAGACGAGAAAACTAAAGCTGAGAAGGTCAAGTGGCTTTGCCCATGGCCAGAGCAAGGGATGAGTCAAGGTCTGACTGGCTATATGCTACACAAAGCTGTCCCCTGTCATATCAGAGATTTAGAATGTTACTCTGATTTGCTTGGAGGACAGGACAATTCTCACTCTGAAAACTCAGATGAATGCAGTGTAAAGCATGGCTTTTATGCAGTCATCCGGCATTAAGGTGAATATCAGAAAATTCACATTAACAACATGGCTACTGAAAAAGTTACTGCCATCCCTCTGTGGTCAGTAATGCTGGCATTCTTTAGTTTAACTGAGGTCAATGTAAAGGCATTTGATCTGTGAGGGACAAGCGCCATAAATCAAGTTCCTAAGCGCTAAGGACACTGCTTTCAAGTATAGCTTCGTTTCCCACCAAAAAAGTTCTCTGTGGCGCGAGTGCCACCTACCTTCCCACTCTCTGTTTGGGCTCTTGGGGGCGCCACGCGGGCTCGCAGAACCCCTGCGCTCCAGGTCCATCTGCTCCTGCCTCTGCCGCTGCTCCTCCAGAAGCGCTGACTCATGCATGGCTTTGATGTGTCGCTGGTAGAGGGCGAAGCCGCTCACTGGAGTTCCAATCGGTATGTTACATGGGGTGCAGGAAACCTACAGGAAGAAGAAAATCTAAATATGCCAGTGACCAACAAAATAGTAATTACCATCTGTGGCAGTAATGCTTCTTTCTGTAATATGACTGCTTGAAGTGATTTTACCATTTTTTAATCAAATCTTCAAGCATAATCCTTAAAATGCTAAACAATTACTTTCAGATCTGAACACAAAATAAATCCCAAAGTTGTTGTAAGAGACATCAAAACAGAAATCACAATATTTCCATTTGCTTTTAACTCACGATGTTGAGTCCCTAGTGGCTCAGGCTTGGGTCCCACCCTCCTCTCTGCCCTCTCACAGGTGCTCACACCCACTTCTATGGATTTAAATGTCACCTGTATGTTAATGGCTCATAAACTTCTTTTTCTAATACATTTTCCTGCAAGTTCCACACTCACAGACTGCCTACCTAACAACTCCACTTGGATATCTCAAAGCACCTCAAAACTTACATTCAAAACGGAACTTTTCATTTGCTAAACTCAATGCTTCTCCTACAGCGATCTCCCATACGAAACAGAACCACAGCAGCTTAAGCCAGAAACCTGGCAGCCACACTGGACTCCATCACCTCTCTTCCCACAACCAATTCATTAACATACCAGTTCTCTTCAGGACAGAAATGAAACGTCACCTCTTCAGACAGGCCATCCCTAACCATCCAAAACATACTGCAAACCCCCTCCCTCTCTTTCACAGGACATAGCACTTGCCACAATTTGCAATTAGATGCTTCTTTTTTCTGCTGCTTTTCTGTCTCTCCCACTTCATGAAGGAACCCAAGCTGCTTTGTCCAACACTAAATAAACAGCCCCTAACTCAGTCCATCACTTCATGAACACAAAAGAGTCCTGGAAATAGCAGAGATCTGACTCTTTTAGAACCTGTTATCTAAAGACTTCAAGAGTTTCCTCCACTGCCATAAGTAGGATTTTTCACTGTACCCATAACACACACATAATTTTCTTGCCTTTGTGCTTTGGCTTATATGTAAACATGGCTTTCCTCCTTTTGCTATAAAGTGAAATGAACTGTTTTGGTCCAACCAAAACATTATTTCCTACGTGGAGTCTTCTTTAAGTGTCCCTTTAAGAAGGAAGCTCTCCTTCCTCTGAATCACCCATAGTATATTTTTCAAACTAAGAGAGCATCACATTTTAATTCTTTTAAATTTTTATTATGATTTTTTTCTATGTCTTATTATCAAGACCAATCTCTAAATTTTCTGAAGTCAGAGATCATGATATTCCACACAGCATTAAAAATGTTATCTTGGGGCTTCCCTGGTGGCACAGTGGTTGAGAGTCCGCCTGCTGATGCAGGGGATGCGGGTTCGTGCCCTGGTCCGGAAGGAACCCACATGCCGCGGAGCGGCTGGGCCCATAAGCCATGGCCACTGAGCCTGCGCTCCGCAACGAGAGAGGCCACGACAGTGAGAGGGCCCCGGACCGCCAAAAAAAAAAAAAAAAAAAAAAAATGTTATCTTGAACTAGGCAGACAATCAATAAATGTCCATTTGGGTAAATCAATGAATGAGCAAATGTTTAATGATTTTTTTGGTGAGCCTATTTATCATAAGCACATACTTAGGGCTTCCCTGGTGGTGCAGTGGTTAAGAATCCACCTGCCAATGCAGGGGACACGGGTTCGAGCCCTGGTCCGGGAGGATCCCACATGCCGCGGAGCAACTAAGCCCGTGCGCCACAACTACCGAGCCTGCGCTCTAGAGCCCGCGAGCCACAACTACTGAAGCCCACGCGCCTAGAGCCTGTGCTCTGCAACAAGAGAAGCCACCACAATGAGAAGCCTGCGCCCCGCAACAAAGAGTAGCCCCTGCTCACCGCAACTAAAGAAAGCCCGCGTGCAGCAGCGAAGACCCAATGCAGCCAAAAATTAAATAAATGAATAAATTTATTTTTTTTAAAAAAAGCACACACTTAACTTTTACATACTGTTATGTGAGACGAAATAAATTTTTATCCTCTGAAATAAAGCAAGAGCTAGAACATAACTAAGTAAAAGATCAATACCCAAGACTGGAATTCAGGATCAAAAGGGAGTCAAACTCATAGAGATTAATAAGGTAAAATGTAAATAAAACTAGATTTGGAACTGTATACTAAAGTTAACCATAACCTCTATAACTTATTCTAAATATTCAAAACCCAGTTATATATTTATTCTACTATTGTCTTATAGCAAAACAAGACACACACAGAACTTACTAACATTTATGGCTAGAGCACTATATTTCTCTTTTTTCCTTACTGGAAATGACCATTTCAATCAATTATCACGATCAATCCATTTGAAAAAGCAATGTATCCAACAGATGAATGGATAAATAAAATGTGGCCTATACAATAGTCTTAAAATGGAAGAAGAATTGGACATGTGTTACAACATGGATTAATCTTGAGGACATTATGCTGAGTGAAATAAACCAGCCACAAAAAACCAAATATTTACTGTATGAGTCCACTTATGTAAGTAGCCAAATTCATAAAACGGAAAGTAGAAAGGTGGTTACCAGGGGCTGTGGGAAGTGGGGGAAGGAGAGAGTGATGGTTAAATGGATATACTTAACCTTACTGAACACTTAAAAAGAGTTAAGACGGTAAATTTTATGTTATGTGATTTTTTTACCACAATTTTTTTAAAAAAACAAGCACTGATTAAAGAAGAGAAGAAATGTCTCTAAAGGTCTTTGTTTTCAACACCTCTTACTCACATTGAAAACTTACCATTGGCGGGATGACAGCAGCTCGATGCTGAAGCTGTGGCAGGTCCAGTGGATTTGGTTTTATTGGGGACGAGACCAGTATAGATCCAGTGGGGTTTAACAATGAAGGTTTTGAATCCATAGGAAACATTCTGCAAATGCAATTTAAAAAGATAAATTAATATATTCTTATTTAAAACTTTAAACATACAATCACCATAATTCCTTTTAAATTAACGTACACGCACACACACACACACACACACACACACACACTCACACACGCACACCACATTGACCTTGCGTATTTGAACAGTCAGGAAAAACATCTACAGTGCTAATTTTCTAGGTAAAGAAGCCTAACGTTGCTTTATAGGTTGAAATTTATCTGAATTTAATCATCTGCCTAACCAACAGAACAGTCTGAACAAGGACCATTATAAAATGTTAGGTCCTGGGCTTCCCTGGTGGCGCAGTGGTTCAGAGTCCACCTGCCGATGCAGGGGACACGGGTTCGGGCCCCGGTCCGGGAAGATCCCACATGCCGCGGAGTGGCTACTAGGCCCGTGAGCCATGGCCGCTGAGCTTGCGCGTCCGGAGCCTGTGCTCCGCAACGGAAGAGGCCACAACAGTGAGAGGCCCGCGTACAGCAAAAAAAAAAAAAAAAGTTAGGTCCTAATTTATCATTAACATAGGTTACAAACTATGTTACCTGTAACAGAATGTTTCTCTAGGATCACAGAGTATTTTTTTAAAACATCTGAATAAGCCACCATCATTTTAAAACCAAGAATCTCACCCCAAATCCCAGACTTCTGGTTTCTCATGAAAAATAGGAAGAAATGGCACCGCAGAGGCAGCACTCCCATGCAACAGCAGGCTGAACTCGCAGGGCTGCCCTCCCCACCCAGCCTGAGCTCCCCAGTCACAGCTCTGCCATCTCACACTCCACCAGTTTCACTCATTTTTAGGACATACACTTGAGTTTAGGACACCCAACGTATGAACTGGGGAAATTATATCAATACCTTACAGGCTCCATCATATTTCCCAGTGCTGTCAGTTACTGGGGAAAGATGAACATTTTCAAAGGTATAAATTGTTAAGAAAATTAGAATGTGTAAAAGAAAACAATTTACATATTACACAAAGAATAAAGATAATATTAAAGATATAGAAGACAACTGAAAGTGTTATTTTGATAGTTTGGAAGTGAAGTAAACTTTAGAGTATCATCCAGAGACCACTATATATTTATAAGGAATTTCAGAATTTCAGAATTTCACGACTACTGTCACGGTCATCTCTTAGGATGCTCCTCTCCTGTAAGATTACTGCCATCCTAATTTTTCCTTCATTTATAAATTTATAAATAAGTTACTGATTATAAAAAAAAAGTTACTGGGCTTCCCCGGTGGCGCAGTAGTTGAGAGTCCGCCTGCCGATGCAGGGGAGGCGGGTTCGTGCCCCGGTCCGGGAAGATCCCACATGCCGCGGAGCGGCTGGGCCCGTGAGCCATGGCCGCTGAGCCTGCGCATCCAGAGCCTGTGCTCCGCAACGGGAGAGGCCACAATGGTGAGAGACCCGCGTAGCGCAAAAAAAAAAAAAAAAAAAAAAAAGTTACTGAAACCAGCAGTGCGAAACACAGGTAACTCTTATTTTAGTTGAAATATTTCAATAAAGCATGCTTAAAAAGGGGCCACACAGCTTAAATCCATTGATGTTTACTCTAAAGCCTGGGACAATTAAAATCTAGATTACTGTGACATGAGAAGAAAAGAGGGCTAGAATCTTCAATTTTCTGAAAAACCAACAGTTAAGTAGGAGCCCTATATTATTTCAATTCTTGTTGATTAAAATTCTAGTATCTACCATATAAAAACCTCTTTGGAGAAACCATCACTGTTATGTTCAATATTATTCTAGTACCAAGTCTCATTCTAGAATATGTAAGATGCACAATATACTGGATATGGACTGAAAGCACAGTGACACCAGGACACACTATGGAAACTGAGCTCTGAGCACAATCTGGCTATCTCCTGAGAGCCTCTTTCTTATTAAAAAGGGGAAAAAAAGAAAAACAAAAACAAAAACAGAACTGAATTGGGTTTCTGGTTAAATGACATTTTAGTCTAATTCATTTCTAGAATTTGCACCAATCCAACATACTACTATGATTCTAGGTGATTCCACTGCTTTCAAGGAAAAGGAAACACCCAGGAAATTAAATATATTAACGAAGTTGGCATCTACTCTTGCAAAATATGTATTTTTACAGTAATTTTTATAAAAACCATTAAGATTATATTTGCATATTATTAATTTGACTAAAAGTACTTATAAGGTAATTTGTATTGTACCTGATATTTTGAATTACAAATATGAATAACCTACAGTTTTAACTGATACAAAAAAGTGATCGTTATATAATGACCACTAAGTTAAATCTTGATTACGCTTTTCTAACACACTTTCACTGCAGTTCCCATCTTCGCCCTCAGCATCTCTCACATGTCATGTGCAGGCCCCCAGGCCCGGCTTGAGGCTGCTCGGTCTGGGGGCAAAGCTGAAGCCAGCGCCCCCCACACCTCCACTTTCACCACCACATCACACGGCTCTGCCACAGAAGCGGCTCAGGCCACAGCTCTGTGAGCTGGCAGCCCCTTCTCTGCTATCATATGGCACTCACGTAACAAGTGATGTAGAAAGAAATTAAAATCTTTCTCATTAAAGAATAATGATCACACAATTCTTTTTGGTTACTTAATCAGGGGAACAGCATCAGAACCCAACACTAAAAGCAGACAGAGGGACTTCCCTGGTGGCGCAGTGGTTAAGAATCCGCCTGCCAATGCAGGGGACACGAGTTCGAGCCTTGGCCCAGGAAGACCCCACATGCCGCGGAGCAACTAAGCCCGTGCAGCACAACTACCAAGCCTGTGCTCTAGAGCCCATGAGCCACAACTACTGAAGCCCGCGCGCCTAGAGCCCGTGCTCCACATCAAGAGAAGCCACCGCAATGAGAAGCCCGTGCACCACAACCAAGAGTAGCTCCCGCTCGCCGCAACTAGAGAAAGCCCGCACACAGCAACGAAGACCCAACGCAGCCATAAATAAAAAATAAATAAATGAATAATTTTTTTTAAAAAATAAATAAAAGCAGACAGACTCTCTCACTTGCCAGTATTTCTACAGGAGTAACCTCAGCAGCCAGCACTGCCCTGGGGTTCAGTCTGCAACCAAGAGAGTAAAGAGCAGGAGGAGGTCAAGGAGGGAGCCTCACCGCTGCCTCTCGGGTTCCCCGTCCACATCCTCATCGGCACTGCACGTGGCACTGGAGTCGTGGTCAGAGGGGAGCTCGGGCCTCGGGGCGCTCATCTGCTGGGCCACCCCTAGGTCGTCGCCTCCAGGCTCCGGCTTCTCGCTGCCTCTCTCCAGGTCTCTGTCTTTGGGGTCCCCTTCGACTCTGGATGGACTGCTTTCTGGCATTTCCACGTCCGCAGTGTCAGCCTTGGCGGCCGAGGGGAGGTCCAGAGCAGAAGTGCCTTCAGCCCCGCACTCCCTGTGCCCCACGTCCATCGGCTCTGCTGTGTCCACTGCCACACTGTCGTTCGCCTGGGTCTCCACACTGGCATCCTCGGCTGCTTCTGTGCTCGGAACTGCCGGCGAGGGAGAGGCCCTGGGCACGGGGTCGGGCGTGGTCCCCCGAGGAGGCGCGTTTTCAGTGCTGTCTTCGCCGGGCTTGACAGCTTCAACTGGTGAAGGAGAAGGAGCACTTTCTGTACCAGAACTATTTTCAGCACCTTGAAGATAATGGTACAGCATAAAAATCTGATAGTGAACAGCGCCCGCTGGTGACAGCAGCCACACCTGAAAGTACTCGTTCAGGATGAACTATCCTCCTCTGATGACCTCACTGAAGTATTACAGCCACTGGGAAAACTAAAGTTTCATAAGTAGAGTAGGAAAGGGAAACATCAAACTGTCTTGGCCTTCAGAAATTGAAAGCATAAAGGCTTTTAATGTCTAAAAATAATCCATACGAAATTTGAAAAACAAAGAAAGATAGAAAAACAAAACTAAACAAAAAACATTCCCATAAATGATAACGTTCTGGTTTATTTCTACCAGCCTGTTTCTGTGCTTTTCTTTTTACCCAGGAGAGCTAACACTAGAACAGCACCATCCAATAGTAACATAATGCACATTACATCTGTAATTTTAATTTTTCTGGTGGCCATGTTAAAAAAGTAAAAAGAGAGACAGATAAAATTAACTTCAACAATATACCTTATTTAACCCAGTATGTGCAAAATATTATCATTTCAAATGTAACCAATATAGAAACCTAGTAATAAAATGTTTTACCTTTTTTGGTACTAAGTCTTCAAAATCTGATTGTATTTCACATTTTCAGCACATCTCAATGTGGACTACAGTTGTCCCCTGGTGTCTGCAGGGGACTAACTCCAGACCAACCCCCATGCCCCCACCACGGACACCAAAATCCACGGATGCTCAGGTACCTGATGTAAAATGGCAGCATGTGCATATATAACCTAATCCTCCCGTATCCTTTAAATCATGTATAGATTACTTACAATTACTTGTAATACGTAATACAATACAAATGCTGTGTAAATAGCTGTAAATACAATGTAAATGCTATGTAAATAGTTGCCACTCTGTGGAATTTTGCTTTAGGGAACTTTCCGGAATTTTTTTCTGAATATTTTCCACCCACAGTTGGTTGAACTGCAGGACCCTCAGATAGAGGGAAGACTGTAATCACATTTCAAGAACTCAATAGCCACATGTGTGTCTAGTGGCTACCACATTAGACAACAAAGCTCTAGAACAATATTACATAGATTTTTTAATTTAACGTTGTAACACTGGTCTTTCCCATCGTTTGTTACCATTTCATAAATATACTTTTAATGTGTTTTGACATCTTTACCCAGGTTATCTCAAAGGAATCACAAATTCACTATGTCCTACTCTGGACAGGTATTCAACTCTCCCAAGTCCCAACTCAAGTTCTTTTTTAGTGTTTAGTATCCAACAAACAAACCAGGAACCTAGGAGTCACCTTTTAAACACTACTCTCATTTGTCCCCATATCCTGCCTCGATGAGTCTCATAGATCTTCTCTCTAAAAATGTCCCTCAAATCCAGCCATTTCTGTTCAACTTCACAACTGCCACTCGACTCCAAAACCGACTCTTCTGACCACCACCCCAGACCATTCTCTACAACAAGGCCAGAGTGAGTTTAAAAGCCAAATTTTACCAAAACTCACTCACTCTCTCCCCATCACTGCTCCCAGGATAAAGTTCCAAACTCCTAAGCATGGCCTTGCTGCAAGCGTCCAGCCTCATCTCGAGCCCTGCATTCTCTGTGTCCCATATCACTGGCCTTCTTTCAGTTCTGTGAATGCCCCATGCGTCCGCTACCACATACGTCATACATTCTGAACGGCTTTCACCTACTTTTCCCCCTTTGGATATTAGATCAAATACCACATGCTTAAAAAACAAAAAACAAAAAGCCACAGGCTTAAAAAAAGCCTTCTATCATTTCCTTAACAAAGTTGAATTTTGCTACTATGGCTCTTACAGCACATGTCCTGATTACAGTTACAATTTTACATTTATTCACAATTATTTGATTCCTTGCTGTTGCGCTCACTAGGCTGTAAATACCATTAAGGTCAAGGATCATATATTTTGCTTATCAGTTAAGTCCTAGAGACAAGCACAAGGCCGAGTGGCTGGCACAGAGCAGGCTCTAACATTTACTGAAGTAAGAAGTGAATGAATGGCTGTGAATGTGTCTTTAAATTTACTTCACTTTTCCTCTATTAGTGGATCCTTGGGCTACTTCCAACTTGACACTGCTATAAATAGCTACACAGAGATGTTCACTTCAAGTTAAGTTTTCAATTATTTTCTTAAAATAGACTAGAAGACAACATAAAACTGTAAATCTCCCTAAAATGAATACACATATCTCCAATGAGAATCCCAGCGGTTTGTAAGAAAACTTCTTAAACTACACAGACCAATTTATAATTTATATGAAAAAATAAGTCCCTGAGAAAATCCAAGAAAATTAGAAAAAGCATTAGCGTGAGAGGGACTTGATTTATATTTTATAAGGTTCACTTTGGCTGTTCTTTGGAGGAAAAAAATATAATGGAACAAACAGCAGCAAGCAGACCAATCAAGAGGCCACTGCAGTAGAGATGACAGTGGCTCGGAAGCAGGGTGGCAGCAATGGAGGGAGGGGAATGTGACGAGAGTCTAAATAATGCATCTAAAGACAAGTGAACAGCCCTCGTTGATGGCCCACATGTGGGGTATGAGAGAGAGCTGGCATCATTTACTGACCGAGGGAGAGACTCGAGGGAAAGCAGGTTGTAGTGGTGGGGAAACACAAGTCGGCTCTGGATGTTAACTCTTAGGTATCCAAGTAGAGACGTTAAATAAGCAGTTAGATGTATGAGCCTGGATTCAGATGAGACTTCAAGTCTCAAAAATAAAAACAAAATCAAAAGACAAAAGCTCAGAAGAGCACCTCACAGGTAGTAAGGTCTCAATATACAGCAGCAATTACTATTAGTGAAAGATGCTACCAAAACGTTGAAAGGCCAACAAAAAGCCTGACTTCATCCTCATTTCTATACATATGGTGACGGAAAGCCTCAAACCCAAGGACAAATGAACAAGTCACTTATCTTCCAAATACAGGAGGACATGTTAGTGATTACACAGATGATATCATCTGACATAAGGCACTTTTTCAGTTATTTTCTTCTTCCAAGCCACAAAAGAGTAGGAATATTTCCAAGGCACAGCACTTCACCAAGCACCAGCCAAATGTGAGTGCCTTTCTTTCTTTCCCCCGCCAAAACACCGTAAGGAACGATTTAGAACAAGAGAACAAGAACACATCCAAATTCTGGTAAGGTTTTGGTCTTTCTGATTTAACTCATCTAGTCACAAAAGACACTCCCACGGCTAGAGGCGTGTCTCAGGAAGCCAGACACGGAGGCTCTGCTTTCGGCGGATGCCTCCCCTCTCCCGCGGGCAAGAGCCCGACCCCACAACCAACAGGAGGTCTGCAGGGTCTCTGGAAGCTGGGCAGTGAGAAGGGGCATAGCTCGTGGACACCGCAGTGTACTTTCTTTTCTCTGGCACTTTCCAAATGAAATTAAGTCAAAGGAAATGAAGATCCCACAATTCTAGGGGCAAGTTCATTTCCTATTAATAGGAAACTATTCTAGATGTCACGACACAAGCATATGGACAAGTGGGCATGACGTGACCATGCTACCCCACACTAGAGCCGATGGAAACAGGATTTTAATACCTCACTTAACCTTAATCACCTTATCTGACAATTTGAAAAAAGCTTCACAATAAGACAGAGTAACAGGAGGGCAACAGAAGGAAAAAAGTCACTTTCTGCTGCTCAGTTTTTAGGAATCTGTTAGCCCATGCATGGATAGGCTTCTCTGTTCTGAAATAAACACGTATATGACAAATAGGCTTGGCCCTTCTTATGAACTGAATCGTGTCCCCTGGCCCCCAAAATTTATGTTAAAGCCCTAACCCTCAATGTGATTGTATTTGGAGATAATGACCTTAAGGAGGCAATTAAGGTTAAATGAGGTCATAAGAGTGGGGCCCGAATCCAAAAGATAAATTTCTATTGTTTAAGCTGCCCAGTCTGTGAAATACAGGCTTCGTGTACATTTATAACCCAGGGAATACCGGCTACCCGCTACAAACCTATTAAAATTAACAAACTCTGAGGACCTCTTTCAAAGTGCCAGACACACCCTCCCCACCAACTGTCTGCAGGACCCTCATTCTACCCCAGGGTGAGCCTGCTCCAACAGTCTCTTTACTTTTGTAACAGCTGCCTCATTTTTCACAAAACCTCACAGAATAAAGTTTACTGTTCAAAGCCAAAATCCATTTCAAGACAAATTTTAAGTTGAAAACCCAGTAACAACAACTTGTAGAAAAAAAATAATAAAACAAAATGTAAAACTCCTGGAAGGTGTAGAACCTCTTAAGCTTAAAATATAGGAGCCTACAAAGGAAAATGTAAATAGCTCTAATTACCTGCAAAGTTTAAACTCTGGTAATTTAAAGATAAAACAAAACAAAAAGCAAATGAGATGGAGGGAATGTTTGCGTACATAAAAACATGAACATGTTTAAGATATAATATATAAAGAGCTACTGAAATCACTGTGAAAATCTCCACTTCAGAAGAGGAGAGCTTTCAAAAGAAATCCAAGGAAACTTTGAAAGTAATGTAAACTGAAATAAATTAGGTAACTTTTTTAATTAGGAAAAAAATCAAGAAAATATTTGCTTTTTCAAGTTGTCATTAATTTGTTCAAGTGATGAAAAGGATTTTATAAAGTTTTTTGGGCTGACGTTTTTTTCTGCCAGTGCCTCTGGGTCATTAATACTTTTTACGTGAAAACATCAATATGACATGTGTAAGCTTTGTAAACACTGAAATAAATCAAGCTCAATGGAATAAAATAAAGAAGGAAATGTAACTGATGATACCGACTGAACCAATACGTGTGGCAACGATCCAGACACACAGACATTTTATTGATGTCGGCACTTAGTGGCTGAGGCAGGACCACCATCTTCAAGATCTTTTGGGTGTAGCACCTGGGCCGTCTTAGGAGCTACATAAATAAATATGTGCTGAGTGAACGAATAAATGCATTGTGTTCACGTTTCCTTAATGAAGCAATTCCTAGATAGTCAAATGACTAAGGTACACATCACGCATCTGGGCCAGCAGAAGCCACAACCAGATGGAAGATCTGAGATACCTTCACTGTCCTCGGGATTTTCCTCTTCGTTGGAGGCTTCGATGTCCTCGTCCTCCTGAGCAGAAACGGTGGAAGCTACACTTTCACACTGAGACACATCTCGCTCTTCACGAGGCTTCCGTGAGGCCTAAAGGAGTAAAAAATATTGCTATTTGGGATTTAAGTAACTAAAAGGAAATAAACAAACCTTCTCACACCTGAGGTGAGGCAGAACACTGGCACGCACACACCAGACCAGCAGCCTGCGTGTCCAACAAGCACTCTGGCTGGAGTGCAGTCACCTCGGGGATCCACTAACGGGCCTTTTGATCAAACTGATCAAAAGTTACGTCCGAGCCGTCACCTCGGGGATCCACTAACGGGCCTTTTGATCAAACTGATCAAAAGTTACGTCCCAGCCGTTTTCGGAACTACTCATCACTATACATGTACAAACAGCCAAACCCCACAAAACTCCTGCTTTTTATTTTCATATATTTATTTTCTAATAAAAATAACGCGTTGGAATGTGGAAGACAGAAAAGTATGTTAAGAAAAGTAAAAACTGCTTATAATTCTAGCAGCTAGAGATTCTAAGTATACTGCTGCATTTCCTTTCAGTCTTTTACATGCATATACGTGTGTATAAATGTTTATGTACACATGTAAACAAAACAGGGTGGCCCTATGTAGTTATATATCCTATCTTTTTTTTTTAACAATATAATCATGAACTACACACACACCTACTTTACAAATGCTTCAAGGTTACTACTTTTATTAATGATTCCATTAAAACACTCCACCAATATATATTTCAAATTTTCCTATTTCAAGGCATTTAGGTTGTTAATAATGCTGCAATAGCCTTCCTTCACTAGCATTTAAGAAATATATGATTTCACAGGCAACAACTCACAGTTGTTGTTACTGAATTTCTTTTACTAGTAATGAGAACAAATTCCTTTTTTTTTTTTTTAATAGGATTTTCCCTTCTGAAAACTACACATTTATGTAAAATTGTTCCTTCTTCTACTGGGGTCACTTGTCTGTAAGTGTATGTGTTTATATATGTAAATGTAAGACGTTAGCCATTTACTGTACTATCTATCTATAGGGTCCCGGCCCTGGCAGTCCTCTGTTCTGTGCCTCCTACAGACCCTGCACATCACCAGGCATCAGCTGCCAGCCTCTCCCAGGGAGAGATTCCTCAGAGGTAACAGGTAACAGATTCCTATTACCACACACCAACTGTGAAAAATTACCAATATTCTTATTCTCGTTTCTTCTTATTCTTAGTTTAGATATGAATATGCTATTTAGGATACAACCTAAAGCATTAATTAAGAGAAAAATCCATTTTCTGACATCAGAGTAGTAGAACTAGATGAAATTCCGAAGACCGAAAACAACCCCATCCTTATGTTCTGAGCAAGAACACAGGGAAGGCTCCTCTGGCACATGTTCTAAGCAGCCTTCAGAAGGTTCCATGAACGCTCTATTTTTGAGCATTAGCTAATAGCTACTCTGGGTTTTCTCAGTGCCCAACCTGTACCCTCCTCTGGCAGCATCCACCCATTCTGTGTGGTGCTGTCCTGGACGGCTGCAGAAGAGACAGCAATTTACCATGACTGCGACATCCCTCTCCTCACACGCAGTGAGCTTCTGCACCTCCAGACCCCTGCTTCATCATATGAGAGTATTCGTTTTAAACGGAAATGTAACACCTATAAATCTTCCACTGAGTTTTAACAGGTATTAGACATTTTGTCATTTTTTTCCTGAAATCTTTTTAAAAAGGATAAAATGCTCTACTCAAGGTTAGTTGCAATGTGAAATCTGAAACGTATCGATACATTTTTGGTACTCTATTAAAATGCATTCCTCTATCTTGTACTTTGGTGTATTAAAGAACATTTTATGGATCTTTTATCCATACACAACATACATTGTGACATCATGAGTTGGTCACTTGGAAAATGAGTTAGAGATTTTTAAAATTTGGATACATTTCATTATATATCAAAATATCACATTAGTTATTATTACCACTAATCTCATCAGAAAAGTCTGAGTATTGTGAAGATGTTAATTAAGCTCACGGTGAGAGATACACACTTCCCAAAATTCTAATTTTTGCCCGAAAGCTGGAAATTTAAAAGTGGCAACAAATACTGATGGTTGTTTTCTTTCAAGGCAGGCTCATTCATTTTCAAGATGTCTGCAAAATATTCAGGTCTGAAAAACCATATCTGTTCTGTCATTCTTTTAATTAAAAATGACATTCCGGGCTTCCCTGGTGGCGCAGTGGTTGAGAGTCCACCTGCCGATGCAGGGGACACGGGTTCATGTCCCGGTCTGGGAAGCTCCCACATGCTGCGGAGCGGCTGGGCCCGTGAGCCATGGCCGCTGAGCCTGCGCGTCCAGAGCCTGTGCTCCGCAACAGGAGAGGCCACAGCAGTGAGAGCCCCGCGTACAGCAAAAGAAAAATAAATTAAAAAAATAACATTCCACGGAAAGGGCTTGGAACCCAAACGACACAAGAGTGCCTTCCCTTGAGACCCGCTGCTCACCAGGACCGGGCAGAGGGCTCTCTGCACCCTCCCACGGTCAAACATGTGTGTGTAAGGCTCAAGATTTACCAAAGCCAAGTTTTAGTTGCTTCATCAAGGGCATTCTTAAGTGAAATTGCCGTTTACAAAACAAAGCTGCAACTGCTTGGAGATGAAGAGCATGCTGAGCGCGGTGGTGCCCCTGTTCTGTGCTAAGGCACCAGCACTCTCTCTCACAGCTGCTTTGACACCACAGATGCAAATGTTCCGACAGTGGAAAAAGGAAACATCTGAATATTTTTATGAAAATAGCTTTAACTTCATGGAACCCTCAAAGAGCTCTGTGAACGCTGAGAACACTGGAACTTCCTGTATGGAATTTTCAATAATCTCTAATAATCTCTCAATAATTTTCAAAACTTGCCGGTTTTTAGTTTTTACCCCATGGAATCTTTCTGAGAAAATGTTTTTTTAATATGACAAATCAACTCAATCAACATGGTAAACACAACTAAAGTTTTCAATTCAAACTCCAAAATGCTTATATTTTTCAAATCCAGCCCACAGAAACTCAAAAGTACTGAATCGCCGTTAGTACTAACAGAAATTTTACTCCTTAGCAGTAAATAAACAAATCGTCAACTTGTGCCAAGAAACCAGCATTTCCCTTTACAGGTAAACGCAAGTAAAAATACAAGATATGCTGATTCACTTTGTTATACAGCAGAAACTAACACAACACTGTAAAGCAATTATACTCCAATAAAGATGTGAAGAAAAAAAATACAAGATACAAAAAAGTTTCCTTCAAAGCCAATCTCTGAAGCTCAAAAAAAAGAAAAAAAAACTAAGTAAAAAACAGTAAGTAAAAGACTCACCACCCCTGATATACTCACTTTCTGTTTATGCTGCTGCAAGAGGTTGTCAAGATTGTGTCGTCTCTTATAGTTAAAATAGAAGTTTTTACATTGGGCTTCACTTTTAGTTCCCACCATTTTGGCAATTGCTGCCCAGTTACGACCATGTTCTACTAGACCTGTATTTTAAACACAGACCAAACATTAACTGAGCAGTCAGTCACCTGATAAAGCAAACAAGAAAAATGATAAAATCAACTTAATTCACTGCATTCACAATCATTAACACTAAAAGTGTTTTTTCAATTATTTATCGATATACTTCAATGCTTGCTGAAATGTGATTCACACAAAACTCATTAACAGCTCTATTTTTCTACCCGAAGTTAAAACATGCTCATTAAATGGAAGGACTCAACCTTATCCTTGTTATATATCTCCCAGAAGACTAGGACAATGCTGGACACACAGTAAGAGCCCAAACACTGTAAACTGAGTGATGAGGTACAGAACTTCTAAATCTTTGGAAACAGTATATCAATACAAAGTTAATAAGGTAATCAAACCTAAGTGATTAACACAAAGTAAAGATATACTTAAAGTTCCATTTATAATCAGCATGTCTTCAGTCCATTCCCAATCAAGGATGCCCTCAAAAATATTAACCAGTTTTTTTTTCTTTTAGACCTGTTGTAATACAATACATCACAGGAACCTACGCAATCTGACATTTCTTCCAACAAATGATGCACGTACGCACACAGATACATATGTGCAACGAGTATGGATATATAAATGCATAAATACAGAGAGAGATTTTAGACATAGGTGTATCCAAGCAGGAATTTCTAGTACAAATTCATTAATTCATGGGAAAACATCAATTTCCCAAGGTTAACACCAGTAGCTTCCTTAACAATGATAACTGGAAGATCATCTCCAGATCCTGCTGACATCTGACGAAAAGCTGGAAGGAGTGGTGCCTGAGCAGTCACGTGCTAGGACGTGCACCTGACAAAAGCACGCTGTGGCAGAGCTGACACCTACCTACTCCACTGTGACGCTGGGACGGTCAGATGACAGTAATACACGGAAGCATGACAGTCACAGATGCTCTAACCATGGCAATAAACTTCAAACAAAAATATTTTGAAGACAGAACACTGCTGTATTTTTGGTAAGGTTGGTTTATATGATTCTTAAATGCATTACTCATTACCAGCTAAACAGAAAATAAATCTGAAATGTGTCACTAAAAGTTCAAGCTATTTGCAATAATTTCTCTTTAGAACTACAGGGTAAATCCTTAACCCCCAAAAGAGCTGGCTAATCTTTCTCAAAATCAGCTTACTTAAAAAATAATTTTTTATTCATAAACCAATTAGCTATCCTTTTAGAAATTTTAGTTCAGTCTCAAACTGTATGACATTTATAAGAAACAACAGAAGAACACAAGACCCGTAAAGTTCCAGAGTAAGATGAAGGCCACACAGCTAGGAATGTGTCAGCAGCAGAATTCAAACCTTCATCTGTCTGGCTACAAAGTCCATGCTCTCTCCTCTGAATCATTTTATAATCAAACTGAGCCTTACTAAATGCAAACTGAGAAAGTATTTATCATTCTATTAAATGCAACTTTTAAATAAGAGACTTTTTATATCAAATACCTTCCAAAACTTTAATAGCATTTAATCACAACTATTCTGGAAAACTGAAAGTAGCTTACTTGCTCTCTAATAAGACATTCAAAACAAAATGAGAGAGAAAAATTCCTCAAAAGTGGGCCTCTTAAACAAGGCACACTGGGGCACCTTACAGGGCACCACACCATCAAAAAGAACTCTTAAGTGTACTTCTAAATTCTACTTACCACTGTGGAAGAACGAACTATTCTTTTTCAATTAAAAAGAAATTAGTTCCATCTCGCTCATTACCAATAACCCTAAAAACAAGCAAACGAAGAAAAACGAACCTGAACTACCATCATTTACCTTTTTTAGCAACTTCCATTTCTTCTTCTGTCCATCGAGAGGTTTCTACAGGTTCTGTGGAAACTGAAATAAAGGCAGAACCCAATAAGCCAGAGAAAAATGAAGTCCTTCATTCACAGATTACATGGCACCAACCGTATAACCTATAGCCTAAATATTTATCTGACATAAAGCCACTTTAAAGCATTAGGTGAAAGAAACTATGGAAATAGGATGGTATCAGCCTCTCCTCTACTGTAAGAGGGGAAAATCCCACACTCCTCAGCACCATGGTCTTCCTCAACGTTCTTTAACATTCCATCCATGTCCACATGTTTGAATGCGGTGCCTCCCCACTTCCTAGAGCTCCATCCCTTCTCCCCTGAAGTGTCAAAAGCAGCAGCCGCCCTTCTGCTTCCTGCCCAGGCAGGCGCAGTCCTCTCCTGTTCTCTGAACCCCCATCTCCCCTCAACTCCTGGAAGTCCCTGTGTTCATCCTCAGTGCCTGAAATCTAGCAAACAGATGGATCACAAACTGAACACCTTCTCCTTTACTTTAGAAAATTGAGACTCTCAGGCCTAAAATGAGCTCCTGCTATATTCTCCTTCTCAATTAACATTACTACCATCCACCCAGTCACTCCAATCATTATCAGGATCTTCAGACTAATTTTTGAAGCCTCAGACTAATTTTTAAATCTTTCCATCCATCTACCACTCACATGCAATGATGTATGTCAATTCTGGTCTCCTGAATACACCCCCTCGATGCCTGGACCACTGAATGCATAAGGACGCCCTTCTAGCTGGTCCCTCAGCCTCCAGCCCTTACCCCAAACACACCTCCTCCACACTGTCACCAGAGTTATCTTTCTAAGAAACGAATCTAATCACAACACTCCTGTTTAAAAACCTCTGTAGGCTCCCTACTTTGTAAGCAAAGCAGGATATAGTTCAAATAAAGCCCACCATGATCTGCCCCCACCTGCTTGTCCAATTGTTTCCTTCACTTCATTCCTGTTATTTCCAAAACTTGCAATTTCTTTCATGCTTCATATTATGATAAACTTGGTACCACTGAACCACCAATGATGGTACTCATCATTAATATGATCCCATTATAAACTAATGAAGACAGTCCTTAATAAGAAAGAGAAAAATGCGTGTACTCTTAGACCCAGTATTCCCTTGTCTAAGAATTTATTTCCATGAAAACTAATTTAACAGAAAGAAAATGCTATGTGAATGAAGATTTTTTTTTTCATTAAAGTGCTATCCATATTAGTTTTAAAGGCGGGAGGAGGTGGCCAACATCTCACAGCTATTGAAAATGAAAATGAAGATCACTTAGAAAGTAGAAAACATTCATGACATGTGTCCAGTTAGAACATCAGGAAACAAGGTGGCACGCACACTAGGATTACAACAAAGGAAAAAGAAAAACAGCTGTATTAGGTAGTAAGGTTGCGGCTCATGTTCTTTTTCGAAAGACTTTGATATTAAAGTCTAACAAATTTAGGGCTTCCCTGGTGGTGCAGTGGTTGAGAATCAGCCTGCCAATGCAGGGGACACGGGTGCAAGCCCTGGTCCGGCAAGATCCCACGTGCCGCAGAGCAACTAAGCCCGTACGCCACAACTACTGAGCCTGTGCTCTAGAGCCCACAAGCCACAACTACTGAAGCCCGTGAGCCTAGAGCCCGTGCTCCGCAACGAGAGAAGCCACCGCAATGAGAAGCCTGTGCACCGCAACAAAGAGTAGCCCCCGCTCGCCGCAACTAGAGAAAGCCTGCACGCAGCAAAGAAGACCCAACACAGCCAAAAATAAATAAAATACATAAATTCATTAAAAGAAATAAACAAAATTTAAAGGCCAGAATTTCAGATCAGCATTTCTAGGCCATCAATATCAAAGGTCCCTCCTGCCTCACCCCAGCACTGAAACAGAATCCCAAACAAAATTCTGGCCCATTCGCTCCAATCTCGTCCACTCACTGGGTTCTGGTGGCGGTGGCAGAGGTGGGGGGGGCTCCTCGGTGGCCGCAGCAGCCGCAGCGCTGGCAGCCGCGGCCTCACTGGTCATGGACCTGGTGACCCGGCCCTTTCGGCGGCCCTGACTGTTGGCAGTCTTTCGGCCCCGGGGCGTGGCCTGCTCTCTCTCCTCAGTTTCTTCTGCCGTACTTTCTGTCTTATCCTTTTCCTTGGTGTTTTCTCTAGAAACAACAGCAAAAGAACGTTTTGTGTGATTTAAAAGTATACATACACCAAAAAGATTACAGCCTTGAAAATTCTTTAAATAGAAGTTGAATAAAACTACCCAACCTCCCAGTTGGAATAACCGCTTGGGCTTCCCATCAATACAAACGCAACCCGCCCCAAAACACGCTCACCCTCCCCACCCTGCTTCCTGCTCCCTGGCCCCCGGACCAGCAGCTGTTGACAGTACCAGCACGCTCACAATCACTCAGTTTACAGATCCGACTTCACCTTCGGCTCTTCCCCTTGGTCATTACTTGTATGTGAACCAGTGCCTCATTCTGCTCCTTTCCTCTCACTGATGTTTCTCCCACCAATTCCACCACCGCTGTCTCTGTTACCCCTGCGCATGTTCAGTGCCTTAGCAGCACAGTCACAGTCTCTTATAACAGCCTTCCTGACTTCTGCATCCCCACCCATTCTATACTCTGCTCATGGACCCATATTCTAGCACAACAGCTCTGGCAATAAACCATTTCCTCCATTCTAATCCTACCTATTCCCAAACAGAGCCATGCAGCCTCCTGAGTGAAGGTTACGCTTTAGCTTTCATTAAGGCTTTACCTAACTGAACCCCAACCTCCTTCCGCTTCTCTCCTTGAGGCGTCCTACATTCCAAACCAATGAAACCACTATCTGCCATTTCCCAAAGAGGCCTGTCCATTCACACTACTCCCTCTGTTCTACCCACACTGACCACTAGCTCCTGCAAGAAGTCCTCCAAACTATCCAGGCAGAAGGAAACCTCAACCTCTTCTCAATCTCCCAGCACACTTTATTGACTCTGCTCATTCCTTCCAGGCTTTTTTCTTTTCCTTAAACAGTACTTGTATCTTGCCTAATTTTTCCTACTAGATCATAAACTACCTGGGAAGAGTACGTATCTTACGTATTTCTGCATCCTCCATAAGACCTAGCTCACAGCAGTAATAAATGAGCGCTTGTTAAATAAACTAGGGATTTTAAGAACAAAGTAAAAACAAGATATGGCAGTAACATATGAGCAGAACCACTGACCACGCGGAGGATAAATGTTTTACCTGAATAAAAAAAAAAATTTTTTTTATAGATATCATCTTCCTAAAGCACAAAATTAGAATGGCATGAGTATCCAACTCTTTAAAAAACATGACAAGTGATTTAGGCTGCTTTAGCTGCCGCAAAATTAGATAAACCTTCAGTATTTCCAAGAGGATTATAGAAATAACAATAAATATTAAAAAGAAACTACTAACACAAGCAACAACCTGTATGGATCTCACACTTATTAAGTAAAAGCAGCCACACAACAGGAGATTACATACTGTACGATTCCATTTATATGAAATTATAGGAAAGGCAAAACAAACTGGTAGTTACCAGGGGCTGGGAATGGGGGGGAGGGAAACTACTGCAAAGGAGCACAGCTTTCTTGGTGTGATGGAAATGTTCTGAGTCACAAGTGCGGCAACAGGTATACCAGTGCATACAACTGTCAAAATGTATCAACGTATACCCTTAAAAACTGGTGAAATTTAGTCTATGCAAAATTATGCCTCAATAAAGCTGATCCTTGGAGGAAAAACAAACACACCAGCTGCTAAGGGCCTCCCTGCACCCAGCCCTGCCAAAACATGTACACAAAGATGTCAACGAGAGCTGTCTCTGAGTGGCAGAATCACAGGTTAATTTTCTTTCTATTTTGCTCTCTCTTCCTGATTTGCTGTAAGGAACTAGAATTCTTTGTATAACCAGGAAAACAGCAACAACAACCACAAACAAACCAGGAAATCTGGACTTCCCTGGTGGCCCAGTGGTTAAGAATCCACCTGTCAATGCAGGGGACACAGGTTTGAGCCCTGCTCCCGGAAGATCCCACATGCCAAGGAGCAAGTCAGCCCATGTGCCACAACTTCTAAGCCTGTGCTCTAGAGCCCGCGAGCCACAACTACTGAGCCCACGTGCCACAACTACTGAAGCCCACGCGCCTAGAGCCCATGCTGCGCAATACGAGAAGCCACCGCAATGAGAAGCCCGCACGCCGAAAAGGAAGATTAGCCCCTGCTCGCCGCAACTAGAGAAAGTCCGCGCGCACCAACAAAGACCCAATGCAGCCAAAAATAAATTTAAAAACAAAAAAACCCAGGAAGTCTATTTTATATGAAAAATAAAATCCATAAAGCTGCAATAGAAGGTGTTATATAAATGAAAACCATTTAGCAGCATTTTTACACTAATGTACACTACCTGAGGTTCAAAACAAAAGATCCTGAGGTTCTTCCAAATCAAAGATTAAATTATACTCAGTGTATCTCAGTGATAGTGTATATCATTGTAGCTCATCCCTTCTGAAACAGAGTATGTCATGTCTGGCAAATAAGTCCATCAGGCCAAAAGTTATACTTACTGGAATATTCCACTCCTTAATTATGTCAAACAACTATTAGGTGATCAAAGCACACATCCCATTGATTCTTTTGTCTAAAATTTTATACCTTCAATAGATTCAATCTCATTATTTGAAAATAACTACAACATTTAACTATTTAACTCACTTAGAGTCCTCCTTTTCATCTTTTTCTTCTTCATCTTTCTTTTCCTCCTCTTTTTTTTCTGTTTTTTCTGCTTTATCTTCTTCTTTTTCTTCTACTTTTTCTTCTTGTGAGGGTCGGGCAATTTGCTGCTAGAATGAACCATCATTTGTAAAATTGGAAAGTAAAACAAACAGCTCAAATCACAATGATAAATAATAAATATCTATGCAACAAACTTATGATTAACTTATTCACCATCTACAATGTAACTAGGGGTCATGTACTAAAAATGAGTCTAATGCTCTTTAATGTAGTCTATATGTATTGCTTAAAAGGTCACACACACATATAAACACACACAAATGTTCACAGTGTCTGGATCCATCAGAGAGGTGACAATGTTAAGATTCCACTTAGAAATCTGAGGTTGGTACTCTCTTTCTGTAATTCCCATTTCTAATCTGTCACTTACACATTTCAATTCTACTTGAAATTTGATAATCTGTCAAACCATCCCCCTGGTATTAGATCCTTAATATGTTCCCAAGTTTTTCATCATTATGGATAATACTACAAGAAACCTCTTTATGCTTTTACTCTTTTGGGGAAACATTCATTTACTGGAAGAGTAGACAGCCATGGCCATTATTAAGACTGAAGTGATTTAGGAAAGTATTATGGATATAATAAACTAAAAAGTAAAACACTCAAATATGCCTAAACTGTAATTACAACTCTGTAATCGTAAATATGTATATAAACAAAGACAAAGATAATAAGATTATGGACCATTTTAACTCTGATGTCTCATTTGCTAAACCTGAGAAAAGTGAAATGAAACTGTGGTGTTTTAATTACGAAATCAAACAGCCTAACCGAAGAGGACCGGACTCCAGCTCCCCCGCAGCACGCGGCCGGCCAGCCCAGGTGTACCTTTGCCCACACGGTCTGTGCCCGGGCTGCCCTCAGCACACCCAGCATTTTCATGCCTTTGCTCAGAATAGAGTAAAATCTTCCTCAACTTCCGATAGCACCTCACAGTCTTTTACCACCTCCCCAGAACTACAATCTAGCTTCTTCCTTAAGACAGCTGGCCTCTCCAGAAGGGGGCATCTCCAGAAGGGGGCGTCTCCAGAAGGGGGACCCCTTCTGGAGAGGCCTCCTTCTAACACATGGAGGAAGAATCTAAACCCTTCCTGCTCCCTACTGCCACTTCCAGAACACTGCTCAGCTGCAGTACTTAAAAACCTCCTGTTACAAATTTCAGAAAATCTACCTATGACACCTTGTTTCCTCTTCTGGTCTTACAGATCGACTCTCAAAGACTCCCAGGAGCACAGAGATGACTTTATCACATGGCTCATTACGCCATGTCATTATTCTTCAGATTTCAAGATGCCTGCCAATGCCTTTTCTATCAACACAATATCCTACGTGTGAAATACTTTCAGGTCATTGCCATTCAGTCTCCCACAGGGAGTCACCACCGCCATCCTCGGTGGGCACTGCACCCCACCCCGACCCTATAATCTGACAGTGTGCCCTGCAACCACCGCCACTCACATCCCTCCCAGCCCACATCTCCACTGTCGCCAGTCCAGTCCTGCTTTTTGTCCTCATCACCATCTACAATCCCTTGATGCTAGGAAATTCTCACAGCCCACCAAGAACGGCATCCACTCTTCCACTCTGACCCCAGCTAAATCGTTTCAATACCATGATTCCCTCACTTATCTTACCGGACCTTCCCAGGTTCTCACCCTGGCCGACTGCCAGTTTCCTTTTCTTCTAAGTACGTATTACTGCTAGAGAAAACTAAGAAATCAGGAAGATTTTAATGGATACTTTCCAAGCATGACTAGCTCTGCTTTACAACTGGGAATGTTTTATTCATCCGACTCCCTAGCACATCACAGTGATCCCAAGATCTGTCTGAAATGCTAATAACCTCACCCTGCCCGCCACAAACGTAGCATTCATCTGTCATTCTGAACCAACAAAATGACATACCAACAACAAACTCTGCCCCCTGCCTAGCAAGTGGGCTATGTAACCCAGAAAACGGTTTACAGCCCTAGGAAGTGATGGGGAGGTGTCAACTCAGCTGAAGATAAGAGGTCTACTGTCCCTTAGACCTGAACAGCACATATAACCGTATTCCCCGGATACTCTTCTGCTTCTAATGCCGAGTCGGGTTTTGAAGGAAGCAAGCAATCCCCCACGTGCCCTGCTGCCTGAAACCATCCCACAGCTGACTGGCCCCTCCTGCAGTGCTGGTGGCTGAGAGGCAAGGGCAGCACCTGTTTCCACCAGTCAAAGGGAAGAAGAGGGCAAGATCCCTCCAGAAACGCAGCCCCCAGGTCTGCAGAGTGTGTGCGAATGAGCCAAAGAAACTGCTGGGGCTGCCAGACAGTCTGCAGAAGCGTGTGCACCTCCAGAGCAGAGCCCCACACTGAGCAGCAGCGAGTGGAGAGGGATGTGAGGGAGGCCCGAGACTGTGGACAGCACTTAACCCGAGACAAGACTGACAGCAAGGATGGCCACCGACACTAAGAAAGGAAGGAACAAACTCTGGTTTTCACAAGAAGTGGCTGGCACTGCTTCTGTTTCAGGCAGATCTGTAAAGGAAAGTGCCAGCCCCCATGGTCTAGGACGGAGGTTACAGGCCACATACCTCAACCCTTTCCAGCGGGCTGGCTGGAGCAGAAGCCCATGGTTTCAAAAGGAAACTCTACAAAGGACCCTAAGAGACACAGGCGCTCCCATGAGCTTCTTGTCCAGGTTTCTCCCTCCTTAAGCCCAACATGTGATAGTCAATTTTAAAAAAGTCTCATTCTGTTAGGGAGGTTCTCCCAACATGAAACATTCCTGCCAAACAATAAGCCATTCACTCTGAATGGCAGAGCACATTATAAAACAAAATAAAAATTCCAATGGAAAAAAAGTGAAAGTTACATGTATTTCATGAAGATAAATGAAGAATAGGGTCAATTTCAGCAGGGTCCTCTATAGCAAGATCAAATGCTAGGGCTTCCCTGGTGGCACAGTGGTTAAGAGTCCGCCCGCCAACGCAGGGGACACGGGTTCAAGCCCTGGTCCGGGAAGATCTCACATGCTGCGGAGCAACTAAGCCCGTGCACCACAACTACTGAGCCTGCGCTCTAGAGCCCGTGCTCTGCAGCGAGAAGCCACCGCAATGAGAAGCCACCACATAGCAACGAAGAGTAGCCCCCACTCGCCGCAACTAGAGAAAGCCCACACGCAGCAACAAAGACCCAACGCAGCCAAAAATAAATACATTAAATAAATAAATTTTGAAAAGAAATGTATTTTTAAAAAAAAGAAAAAAGAAAGATCAAATGCTAGCTTATGCTGAGATTCATTACTACTACATCTGACCGGGTGTCTAACACTCATATATATTTGTTAAAATGCTCAGGTCTTTAGAAAACACATAAATAAAGGGATTCCCATTCAGTAGACAATGAAGTTGCCCAACAGTGAAATGGCCAAATTTAAGAACAAGGAGCGATAGTTAAATGACAAAATGTACAAGAAACAGAACAGTGCCGTACTTCAGCCACTGAGGTTGTTTCCAAGCACTTCAGGCAGTAAACAGAAAACGTCTTACGCCAATCTAATCAAATGATATTAATGACTAATGCCTTTAAAGCAACTGAATTGGAGACTACTTTCCTGAAGGGTGAAAGCTGCCAAACACCAAGAAGCATGTTTGGTTGAAGGCAACAAACGCGGTAGCTGCTGCCCTTTACTTACTGGGCGGTCCCTACCCTCTGGGTACTGCACACACACCTAGTCTCCTATAAACCCTGCAAGGTAAGGACCAGTGCTCACAGATGTCACTCCCACAGATGTCACCAAGTGAAGGGGCACTAGAGTGTCACAGACACGAAGCAGCAGAGCATTTGGGGATCTAAAGCTCCTTCCATTACACCCAATTCTTTAATTGTCTAAATCACCCTTCCTAACTAGTCTATAGCTAACGATTTAGTCAAAAACTCCTCCAGGGCTTCCCTGGTGGCGCAGTGGTTGAGAGTCTGCCTGCCGATGCAGGGGACACGGGTTCGTGCCCCGGTCCGGGAAGATCCCACATGCCGTGGAGTGGCTGGGCCCGTGAGCCATGGCCGCTGAGCCTGCGCGTCCGGAGCCTGTGCTCCGCAACGGGAGAGGCCACAGCAGTGAGAGGCCCGCGTACCAAAAAAAAAAAACAAAACAAAACAAAACTCCTCCAACTTCAACAATTACTACATTTACATAAGTATATGTTTTCTGAACACCTCTGGGGAATAAAAACACGCTGGCACAGTTAAAGGGGAAGATGTTGTCAGCATGAAGGGAGAGTATAAATTCTTGGAAGAGCCCTCGAAGATCTGGAAATGAAAAATGTGGTTTCAAAACAATGACTTGCTTTACGGCAGGTCACGAGCAGGTGCCACAGGAATCCCATCTGCACAGTGACAGACTTATTACATGGGAGTTTATGCTGGAAAGTGAGATGGAATTCTTACTTTTAACAAAAATGTAGCACACAAAATCAAGTTACTACTTGGCATGGTATTTACAATTCTAGATCCCAAACAGTAAAGCCAAAGAGGGGCTTTTGGCTTATAATCTTTGATAAGCATTCACTGCTTCAACTACAATTGATAAAGAACCACACTCATTCCCGTCATGGGATGCCAATAAGCTGGACTGTAACAATGGTTTGGGCAGAGTAGCCAACAGAATTTTTGAGAGAAGAGTTAAAACTTCTGCCAACAATAATCTCTGAACACAACTGTCACAAAAGTATGATTCTCATTTCCCGATGATTCTAAGATTAAAACTCATTTTCTGCGTAAATAATATGCAAGGTCCCCTATGGCAACAGCAATGTTAAAAATCACACCTCACGGGCTTCCGTGGTGGCGCAGTGGTTGAGAGTCCGCCTGCCGATGCAGGGGGCGCGGGTTTGTGCCCCAGTCTGGGAAGATCCCACATGCCGCGGAGCGGCTGGGCCCGTGAGACATGGCCGCTGAGCCTGCGCATCCGGAGCCTGTGCTCCGCAACGGGAGAGGCCACAACAGTGAGAGGCCCGTGTACCGCAAAAAGAAAAAAGAAAAAAAATCACACCTCACAGATGTGG